ATAAATAACTACATTAAAATAATAATTTTAATTTTAGTACTCTCATTAAATTAAAATCTATTATTTTTGAGTCTCACAAAATTATCATCAATTTTCACTTCCAGTGAGGATTCTAATCAAGTGTGAAAAAAAATTTAGTTTTCCTTCATATTTCACCTGTAACTGCCCCCTAAAGGTATATATTATCAATAGTGGCACCTTTGTTGGATGATGTGGTCTAGATGGTCTTTTTTATCATTATTTTAACATAGCATCAGTTTATTACTGTGTGCATAGTTACTTTCTCTTCTTAAAATAATAATAAGCATAGGTTATACACCAAACTCAATGTTTCTACAGTTTACTGAGTGATGAAGTTTCATAGTAAAACAAACCCATAGCAACCAATATTGAAGTGTCAGGCTAATGACCTCTTAAGGGGAATTTACAATAATACACGAGTCCTGAAGTTAAAATGATGACAGAGTTGAATTTGGTTAAATTCAAACATAAAGCATGCATTAAAAAGGCAAACTGCCCATGCTTTTGATTAACAATGTTGATGATGGCATGCTGTCTGACTGTCAAATTGTACAAGCATTAATTTTTATATTTATTTTATTTGTATAGAAAACATCAACTAATCCATGGCAAATACAATTTTGTGCTAAACTTCTTGCTGAATATACTTTAGCTACATGCAACTCACTCAATGCTTACAATCCTTTGAGGAAAAGCCGACGAAGTGCATGTACTATTTAAATTGCATTAAGAGAGGGAAAAAGTGGGTGAGAGCTTCCTACAGTTTTGTGAGGGCATTGCATTATCAAGACAAAAAATTAGCAGTATACTTTTCAATCATTAATTTCCATGCTTACTTCTTGCAGCCACACTCAAAGTTTTTTAAAAACATTAATGCATGTACCAAATCCTAAATAAAATGCATGTAACTACATGTATACATACAGTGGCATACATGTACATGTACCAGTTAGTTTAAATTTATCATAGGAACTGTTTTTAATGGTTGTTCCTTCTTGTGTCTTTCATTCAGTATAATCAACTGATCTTCAAGAATTTCTTTAAGATAAGAAGGAGCAGGGAATCCCACTTTAATATATTCAAGTGATGGATGATTAAATATTGAATCATAGAAACAGTGTGCTGCTTGACTCCATGAAGGCTGGAATGAATTATTAAGAGACGAACAATTTATATCCAATAGCTTGATTGTTTTATGTGACTGAAGCATGTTTGTAACATCAGGAAGTAGGTGTTCAAAAAATAGTGCTGTCATTTTTGTTTTCTTTTCTTCTTGAGCAGCTTGACTCAATCGATTGCTTGACATACTTAATTTGAACTGTAATTGAAGTTCTTTTAGATTGTCTTTTTGTGAGATGACAGCAAAAAGATTCTTTAGCTGTTTGTTAACAGACAATTCAATGTAGCCGACACTAAAGTGTTGAAGAGTGGTGTTATGTCTGATACCATCAGACAAAAAGGGTAAGAATTCACACAAAATGGAGCCATTTATTTGAAAGTATTGCAACGTTACATTTTTTGTTAGCATATAACATAAACTATTTCCTACCTCAATAGTTTTCTCCTTCACAGTCACACTCAAAGCTTTCAAAGTTATGTTGGTTCGTAAAATGGTGAAAAGTTCAATAGCCTTTTTAGCTGTATCAACTGCTAAACAAAGTGTCTGAAGACTAGGGTGAGAGTGAAATATTAATCTACTTGAAAAATTCAGTCTATTTAGTATCAGACAATGTAAGCCATTAATTCTTCGAAGGATGGACAATAGTTTACATTTTTGAAAAATGAAGAATTCTCCAATTTCTAAAGCAGTAAGAGGCATGTTCACTTCTAATATGTCTAGCGATAATGGCTCAAGTGTGTCGGGTATGTTCAGTGAAAGAGCTTGTATTGTGTTGTTGTTCTTCAGTAATTGCTCTATTACTCCATCAGGCAAAGGAAGAAAAGGAAAATTGTCCCCTGATGCAGATGATCCCAAATCAAGTGATAGTGACAATGATTTTATTGATCTGTTGTCTGATGCTCCTCTAATAATACTAGCCATGGTACAATTTCTCTGACTGTGGTTACCTCTTAAATCAATTTTTATCTCTTTCAGTGTGACATTCATTTTTATGCATTCCTCTAGTTCATTGCATTTTTCAGTGTACTCCCTCACATTATGTGGTACTTTAGGAAGATACATCGTAACATGCAATATTTTTAACTGAGGAAGATGGAGAAATTGTAGCAGTAAAAGAGATGGTACATAATGGCCACTATCCAAAAAACAATAGCACTCCTGCATATTGTATAAAAGTGATGATCGAAATAACTTTTGCAACAATTCAGTTGTAGGCCTATGAAACTTAAGTTCAAACTTTTTACATTGAGTTTCTAATGGCATATCGGATAAAGCATTAACAAATATATGTAGTGAAGGCTGATGATATGAATCCTCCAGATGCAAACAATTCCATGTTGCACCAGAATGGCTTACAAAGTAGCCAAGGCACAACCAATCAAACATTGATAGTTTATTTCTACAGTGACACAGTGACTGCTTATCAATAGAAAGAGTTAATCTGTGGCACAAACTTGCGTTACGTGATTCAAACAGAAATTGAAGAAGGAGAATGAAAGAAATGTTAAAACCATCAGAAGGTATGTATTCATCAAATACAGAAATGTTGATCTCAGGATTTTTATAAAAAGTAGAACGATTTTGAAACTCAAAACCAAACAATGCATCTCTATTACATACTAAGGAAACTTTTTTGTCAAAAAACTGCTGATACCTTTCATGTTCAAGGTGTGTTAGGCCAGCCACAAACCTTAGACACATTCGAAAGTGATCATCATCAAAGTGATCCTTAAACACATCCTCTGTCTCCTTCTTGTGTTTAGCTATCCACCATGCAGCTAGAAATTCCTGTATACTTAAGTGAAGGAACTGATACTTCTTTTCATCATATTCTAAGAAAGTTGTCATTAATCCAAGATAGTCTTCTTTGGTAGCTTCACTCATCAGTGAATGTTCTTGTAAATCTTGTAAAGAGAAGGTCATTGTTGTTTTAGCAAGGCCTATATATGCTACTTGACTCAATTCCTGTAAAGCTTTCATCAATTGTGATGGTAATGAAGAAAGGCTACATAAAGTATATGGATCAATTTCCCGCTTATTTACATGTCGCCTAATAGTTTGTAGGAGAAAGCACTCATATAATTGAGTAAGTGTTGTAGGCAAGTGTCCCTCTTCTTTACGATACACGAGGATAACCATAGAACAGATAAGTGGTACATAACACAATGATCTGACATCACCTCGTATTTTCAGATCTTGAATGAGCTTAATAGCTTGTTGTGAGTCCTTATTGCTATGTGTAGTTGAAACATCTGGCTTGTAATGCCTGGTATTGTTGTTTACAACTGAATTTTCGTCAATAAGCTCCTGTGCTAGTTTTGCATCTTTTTGAAGTGTCTGTATTATTACAGTTGAAATGTCACCCTCCAAAAATCCAATGACTTGAACATGTCTACTAAGAGAATGCATATTGAAAAGTGAAGACGAGGCATAGCTACGAGAGGTAACAATTACTGAACATCGGTCCAATTGCTCTCTACGAATGATGCTAGCAGCTAATGAAGAGTGTCGAAGTTGTTCCCTTAGTTCATCCCAACCATCAAAGATTATTAAAAGTCCTTCGCCCTCTTTATCAGATATCCACTCTACCACATTTGAAACTTTAGGACTTTTATACAAAAACAGGTCAGCTAATGTAGCAGCTGCTGACATTTTAGCATTCCTTAAAGGACAGTAAAGTACCAAGTCGTATTGTTGATATACAAATTCTTCATTTGACCACATATGTAACAATTTACGACAGAGTGTTGTCTTGCCAATACCAGGGGGACCGTCAATCAATATCCTAAGAGACATCAGGCTAGTTGTGGGCCGAAGAATATCATTAACATCAACCTCTTTGTTTCCAGAAAGTTTCATTATTTTGTCAACTTTTCCTCTTAAAAGATGCCATGCAGATTCCTTTTCTGTCAAATCATCTTCCTTTTCAATTAATGCAACTCTTCCAAAGAAATCTTTTCCAACTCTGGGTGGCCAGTCTGTAGCAACAATAGGTTGACCTTTGTATTGATTTCTCATAATGTCAGCATACAGTCGAACATCATCAGGTATAGAACAAAAAGGTACAACTGTTTCAGATTGACCTACAGTATGAATAAAACATTTTAATATCTGATGCCATGCAGTGAACAAAATCAGTAAAAATATAAAGGCTTTCACATGTATGGCATTCAGTGGTATATTCATAGTTCATAGTTCATTAAAATGATTCCAAATATGGGTCTAGTACACTGAAATGTATGTGCAAATGAAAATATATTACAATGGTTCTATGAAGTAAAATATACCTTTTACTGAACTGCATTGAATTACAATTACAAAGTACTTGACTAAGTATTTCATACATACATGTAATTTAACCAAACAAGAAATGTACAATACGTTGGATCACCTCAATACATGTACATGTAGCTGTTGCATGGTCTCATGTAGCCACACTCAACTACATGGCATGCAACTCTATGAAAGGCCTGCTCTTGAAGGACAGCAAGATGCTAGTGCTATCTTTCTGCAGTTGCTCTCACAGTTGCAGATGCATACCAAGCAGCCATGCAGGGTTTCCCACAAAGTGTGCTAAGTGAGAAACAGCATACTTTATGAGCTGACAAGTAAACCCTACATTATCTACTCTTGTACACACATACATGATGTTAGAGAAACTTAATAAATGTGACCATAATTGACAAAAGGTACCTTATGACGGATTTTTAAATTCATCATTGTAATAAAAAATATTAACTTGTGAGCGCTCTGTTAGACAAGCATTGGTTCTAAAAGTTACATAGTAACTTTTTGCATCCTCCAGACTAATTTTATGATCATTAAAGCTCAGGAAGTTGGATTTTGTAGGCTATAAAGACCTATTTCTCTATCCGCCATAAGGTACCTTTTATCAATTATGGTCACAAATTCATTAAAAAACCCCATTTGATCAAATATGCTCAAATTTTCTACAAAACATAAGAACGAGTATACTAAAAAAATTATAAAAATAAACTTCTGTCCTAGTCATTTTTGACAAAAATTAGACGAAAACTATAGAACAGGGTCTTGGCTTAGTTGATTTTGAAGCATTTTCAAAATATGTAAATACTCAAATATTCAATTTTTATTGAAACTAGGCCTATGCCCTGCAATAGACCTCTAGAGCTGTGAATGATTAAGTGCATGAATATCATTATTTTGAGATACGGTATCCACCTACGTGTAATAATTGGCCGCCATTTTGGACAGCAAGATTCAATGAAGAAGGAATGGAGTAAACTATAGAAGAGCTTGTTTCACTGGTCTGGAACACTTTCAAGCTACAAAAGTTGGTTGGAAGAAAGAATGGGTGCTACCAAGCATCTCATAAACAGATTTGGTGCAATGTGCAGCAGATTCTTTACTATAGTTTGTTCTCCGCTTTTACATAGTGCCAAAATTGTTTTTGCAAACATCCAGGTACATGTACTAGTTGATTAATAAATGGAATAAGATATACAACTTGGAATTAAACCACTGACTTCAAAGCCAATTCAATGAACATAGGTCTTTAAAAAGAACTCACACATAAAATACCAACCATCAAAACTGACCACGCTAATTGAGCTATAAATAACCATACATAAAATTAAATATTTTAAAGCTGAAAAAAGTTATGAAGTATTTTGCAATTTGTTAAAAATTTTGTAATTGTTGATTCTATACTGGTGATTTAGCAGCCACAAATCATTGAGAAGATCAACTGGGTCTAGTTGCAAATACATGTAAGTATTTCCAGCTATTACATGTAATATGCTCATTTGTCTTACAGTCAAAAAAATGCTAATTACAGGACTCTAAATCAACCAATTTTCAAGCCTTAACAAAAGCTAATTGTGTTAATATACATGTAGATACATGTACAATACCACACTTATATGTATTATGAATGAGAGTACTCTTGTTAGTAATTATGGGCATTAGTATTATATACTTTACTCACCTACATGTACATGTACTTTTAACTTGAGGAATATAGAAGTAGTAATATCTACCAGTGATTTGTGACGCTGATTCATTAGTACATGACAAGTATCAATAAGATATTGACGAGGATCACAAGAACATTCCAATTGCCTTTGTATTACAGACACTAATTGACCAGTTTTAAGTAAATCAGATATTCCTTTTGCTGTTTGAATATGATTAACAGTTTCCATTGGTATCAATTCTTTAGCATATAGTTCATGTGTTACTCTGTAAAGACAAGAAGTAATAGCATCCACAAGAGTAGCATAATTCATCCTCAAAATAGCACTAGGAGTGTTACCTGCATCAGTTTATTATTAATAACAAATATCTGCAATAAGTGTATTTTACCTTCTTTAGCACAAGAAATGGGCATAGTGCCAGTATTAACAGCAGAAACTGATGATGATGGTGTCACTGGTACAGTATCTTCATTACCTACATTGTAGATGTACATGCATAGTAATAAATCAGTAAGTGGCACTAAGTGCTTTCATAATCACTTTAGATCTATAGAAATAAATTTGGGAGACTAATTTAACTAAAAATTGTACCTACACTAAATGCTGAAAGCAACTTTGTGGTTACTTTGATGTGTTTCAATTTTATTGCCTGAAATGGAACAGTGTTCAATTCAGGCAACAGTGTTGACAACACGGCCAAAGTAACCACAAAGTTGCTTTAAACCAAGTTGAATAGTAGATGATGG